TCAACGAATGCATAAAATACAAGCTCTTTTATTAGAAAATCCACAAATTACACTGAAACAATGCACTACTCTCAATCCAGCAACTCTTATGCCAATACCAGATTCAACTATGCCAGTGCATAACTGCATGCAAACACTAGAACTACAATATTCTTGCAGACCTGACCTTACTGACCAACCATGGCAGAATCCAGACTTTAAGTGGTTCACTGATGGATCTAGCTATATGGACCGGGGCATTAGATACTCTGGGTATGCAATTGTTTCTCAAACTGCAACTGTAGAGTCAGCACAACTACCCAGCCAAGCAAGCGCACAATTTGCAGAATTGTATGGTCTAACATGAGCATTGGAAATAGCTGCAGGAATGATTTTAAATGTGTATACAGACAGCAAATATGCATTTTTAACAATTCACGCACACACAGCCATCTACAAAGAAAGGGGATATTTGGACTCCACAGGCAAGATCATCCAATATGCCACCTTGATTAAAAGACTTATTAAGGCAGCACAGTTACCGTCTAAAGTTGCAATCATCCATTGTCCTGGACATCTAAAAGACTCAAGCCTTATTACCCAGGGGAATAGGAAGGCAGACAAAGAAGCCAAAAAAGCAGCTTTAGAAGGCCCCCCCTACAGTCAGATGTCACCAGGTTCATGTATTTAGACACTTACTTGGAAAAACGTGATCCTACATATACTAAAGAGGAAAGCCAAAAGTTAAAGCAGGATGTACAAACCGAAGTAATTAAAGGCTAGTACACCCTTCCCGATGGACACATTGCTATTCCTCTTGCACTTGCCCGCCCACTTATTTTTCAGGCTCATAAACAACATCATTTGGGAAAAACTGCATTATTACAGCAACTTGGAAGATTTTTCTATCTTCCTTTTGCTTCTTCACTGACAGCACAAGTATGTTCTCAATGTCCCATTTGTGCTCAAACCAATGCTCGCCAAGGACCAATAGTACCACCTGGTCAACAACCAATCGCTTATTTCCCAATGGACTATGTCATTGTTGACTTTACTGATATGCCTAGGAGTAAGAAATATGTAGCCCTGCTAGTTATCATTGATACCTACTCAGGTTGGGTTGAAGCCTTTCCTATGCTAATAAGAAAGCTATACAGGTTGCCAGAATCTTTCTTAAGGAAATTATTCCTAGATTTGGTTGCCCTTCTAAGATTTCATCAGATAATGGTCCTGAGTTCGTACATCAGATTAACAAGGCTCTAGCCCAAGCTTTAGGAATTAAGTGGAGATTTCATTGTTCTTTTCGCACTCAATCAGCTGGAAAAGTGGAAAGGGCTAATTGCACAATTAAAAGCCTTATTACTAAATTTTGTTTGGAAACTCATCTCCACTGGGCAGACGTTTTGCCTATGGTTTTGTATGCAATCAGACTGCCCCCCCCCGCACTAAGTTGCAACTTAGTCCTTATGAGCTCATGTTTGGCCGCCCCCCTTGTCTATTTAAACCTGACAGTCAGGGCTGGCCAGACTTGGCCCATAAGGGGGGAATAGACCAACAGAAATTGTTACACCAGATATAGCTTCATAATTTAGCTGTTTCAAATGTGTGCCATTATATGATGGAACAACAACCCCCTCCAGTGGTCACGGCA